TCTATGTTAAGTGTGCATAAAAATGTACACGTTCAGTCTCAGTAGTGTTTTGCTCTTTCTGCATCGGAGTGCATAGCAAGCTGAGGGGAAGTCAGTGAAGTGGCTGCTCACTCCATTTCTGAGTTCTATTGTCAGCACTCCATATAAAAACATTAAATATTGAAAGTGTGCATTAACATGGGTCAGGAATTGATGGCTGTACCTCTGTGGGGGGAGTAAACCTGAAAGCGTTCAAAAAGCAGTGGTTGCTTTGAGGCTTTTAATGCTTGTGTTTTCTGCCACGTGTGTGCTTTTAAACAAATAGCTTGAACTCATTTCAAACGATGGAAGAATATTTGAAACTTGAAAGAGAGATGTTTAATTTTGCTCGGCTGTTGTTGTAACAGTCATGATTTCCATGGCTATGCAACAGAAACATCCAGTATTTCAAGAATAGCTCATGATTATTACAGTAGCCTCTACAACACAGAGGTGCTTCTGATCCAGGATTTTGCAGGACAGATAACATCCACTAAAGTCATCGTCAGTTAACAGTCAAATCTCTTCTTTTTTACCCCTAAACAAGAATTTCTTCTAGCATTATCTTTGGAATGATCAAATGTGAAGCATGCTCCTCCTGCTGCGCGGCGTGTCCTTCTGTTTTCCTTTTACAAGATGTTCATCTGTGTTGCCATGGATGTCTTGTTTGGGGGTTGAAAAGGGACTGAAGAGATGAAGAAGAGTGGAAGTATAATGTGTCTAATGAAATATTAAAACACATCTTTTTTAAAGCAATGTGACCTCGGCTGAAACACTAAATCTAACCCCCACAAAGGGACATCATTTAGGAAATGAAATCGTAAACCGAAAAAGATGTAGGGAGAGCAGTTCAAGGTGAGATCAATCATACGGCACATTGATTGTTTCATGTAATTGAGTAGATGCACATGCCATCTGTGTCACTTTTCACAATGAATTGATAATACATGTCTTTGTTTGTGCTCGTCAATTCCCTCCAACATTTGCATGACCAAATGAATATCAATCGAGTTTCAAAATACTGAAATCTTTCTCCTGTATGTTGCATTAGGTATATAGAAAGCACAGTGAGAACCACTTTAAAATTCTAGCTTGGTAGACTATGCTGCGTGGAAAATACAAACCGCCTCTTGCCAAGCTAAATGTGTCAGTTAAATTGTGATAAGATCAAAAGTCAAATGCGTAAAATTGTACTTTTCTGCCAAATCCCAAAACCCTGCTACTCAATTTATTTTGGCATTTTCCCTGGACTGAAGTCAGTCACTAAAGGACAGATTGTAATGATCAGAAATGCCATTAGATAGTGTGTCTTGGGAGGTGTAATGCTTCTTTATGCCAATAAGGGTCACACATTATGAAAGTTATAGCACACTGACGGGCTGTCATTTAAACTGTTTGCTGATGTACACTGCCCCCCCCCCCTTCTGCCCTCTGTGTCGCTCTGTTCCTGACAGGTCACCTCCTCAAATAACACACTCTGTAACTCAGAGGTGACAAAAGCATCAGGAGACGTTGCCACTGACTTCCTGTGCCCCACTTTATTTAAATATAGGTTTATTTGTACAGTTGTGTCTGTTTTTATCAAAGCAGTGTTTCATGTTGGCATTTGATGCCAATGTGTTACTTATTTTGGAAAAAAAACAACGCAAAGAAAACCTTTGCTTCAGAGCGAGTCAGATGAGGTTGTACGCAACTTGCTGTGGTTGCATTGTTCTCACACTCCATTTGGATTTGTAACATCACTATTCTAAAAGTCAGTATGATTGCCTGGCACGTGCTAAAGTCGTGCTAAATATCTGGTTATTATCTTATTTGTATTTATTTGTTTTGTTTTTCCCAAGGCTGTTGAGAGATGAGGAGTGAGGCCAGTTTGTGATACACACACACACACACACACACACACACACACACACACACACACACACACACACACACACACACACACACACACACGACATCTAACAGCCTGGCCTGTCATCTGCTGGCCAACTCCTGAACTGCATCCCTGCTTTCCTACATAACAGGAGCATGGACAGTATCTCAAACAAAACCATTCCTAATAAACTTTAAATAAATACACTGCTACAATAGTCAACTGATAAATGTTTGATTATATGTTGTTTTTGTTGTTGTAACATCCAATCTATCTCCAGACAGGTCTATCCGAAGGCAGAGAAGGCCCCACTCCTCCGTGCTGTTCCTGAGCCAGAGCTCTGATTCACAGCTGCTGGCAGTCTGCTGACGGGGAAACACTGGCTGTAGTGGGTGGATGGAGATGTGTGTGTGGAGATGTGTGTGTGGAGGTATTGCACTGAATCGTGCTGGAGGTTTGTGTGGGACACCGTGCTCAGCAGACACACTTTCTGAGTTGGTGCACACTGCCGGGGGGGAGGATTCGTCATCGGCCCTCGGCTCACATTCAAACCTTAAGAGTCATCAGAGTGATTGACTGCTGTCTGTGGGTGCAACACTCTGAATATAAATAGCTATTGGATGGATTTCTTTAGAGTTTGCACAGACGATCATTGTCCCCAGATGATACACCTAAATGAATTTGGTGATCCCCTGACGTTTCCTGTAGTGCCACCATGAGGTTGATATTTCTGTATTCCAAATATCACAACAACTGATGTGTGATTAACATCACATATCCAATATCCAGGGCACCATGGATCCACAATTACCCATGGTGCCCTGCGGGTGAGTCTTAATGACTTTAGGGATCCCCTGACTTTTTCTCAGCAGTGAGTCAATGTTACCATTTTCAATTTGTCCAATACTTCTATACGTCAATGACACATTTCTGGCAAAACTTTTATTTTGAAATGATATAGTACTTTTCCTTTTTGTTAACATTATGTTTGTGCAAATAAATTGTACATCAAAAATGGAAAAATGTATATATAAATAGGAAACCAACGATTACAAAAATGAATGCAGATATGCAAGGTTAAAAAAAACTGAAATGTAATTATTAAAGAGGACACACTATAGGTGAATTGTGACATTTTTAATTATGAGATATCACCATGAGGCCTCTTAGAGTTGAGTGCGTATGACAATATATTACATTGTTCTGAAATTCTATTTTTCTATTAAACGAGGCATTTTCTAAAGCATCTAATGGTAGCTTTTAGTAGAATTAAACAGACGCAAAAACACAATTAGTATAATTAACACCGTAATGTTTATTTTGGATGTTTTCTTTTCACTATTCAGAAATAAGCAAAATATCACAACCCTTAAAAACTACCATAAAAAGACGTGTGTTTGTCTGCAGTGTCTCCTCTTTTAACGTTTTGGATGCTGATAACAAATAGATATATAATAAAACATTGTCCCAAATACAGAAGTGTGACTGTTGCTGAAATAAAGGGGGAACCAAACAGTGGAGCATATATCAAACAGCTTATATCAGAAGAGATAACCAGTATTCCCCAAATGTACCCACAGGTTTACAATATTCAGAGTTTACGGAACAAAATGCAGCGTTCACTTCCCCCTCTTTGATCACTTATTGACTCACACTGCTTGCTACTTGATCCTCCATAATGTTTGTGAGTCTTGGATCCTGATGAGTCGCTCATGAGTCATGCTGTTGGTTTCACTTATTTAAAGCCGGCCCCTTGTTGTTGCAGCGTACAGTTCTGCCCAAACACACACAGCAGCCAACACATGTTGTTTTCTGCACACAAAGTCTGCAGACACCCCGATCGTCTGCAGACACCACTTCCTGTCCTCTCACGTTATCGTCTCCTGGATAATGAGCTCCACACGCCTCCATCCACTCCCCACCTCCTCCCTCACCCCTCCAGTCACCCCTGATCAACATTTTTCACATTGTTAATGGCTTATGTCAGCTTCTGGTAATTATAGACAATTAATCATGTGTGATTCACTGTCTCCCTCTCTTCGTCAGCATTGTGCTCCATGCTGCGAGAGGGAAAACGACAAAGGTGAAGCTGCCTTTATTAAGTAGGCAGCGCCAGGGAGTGAACTCCCCAATGATAAGCAGCGTGTTGCAGTGCTTTGGCTTACACTTCCTTGAGGCGAGCGATAAAGGCCAGGTGGAGATTAAATTACATGAATTCCTCCGCCAGAAGCCCTGACCCGGAATGACTTACAAGACAAGAAGGATGGAGCGATGAGTTTAGGAGAAACCACTGCCAAAGTGCTGCAACATGAATTAACCATCAGTGTCACAACCAGCGGTGCAATGTAACTAAGTACTTGTACTCAAGTAAGGTATACTTAATCACAATTTTGAGGTACTTCTACTGGAGTATTTCCATTTTATGCTACTTTATATTTCTATTCCATTATATTTCAGGGAAGCTTGTTACTTTGCAGAATCTGAATATTATGCCACAATATAAATAAACCAACAGCATCGTCAATCATTAATATCAGCTCTACCTTTATCAGCAGCAACATTCAAATGGTGAACATTGTACATGTAATTCAAATCATCTATTACTTTTATTTTTGGTAAAACATGTTGATGCTAATACTTTTGTACTTTTACTTAAGTAAGATTTTGAATTACATTTACCTATAGGCCTATAGTATATTTAGCCTGTAGAAATGATGCAAGTTGATTACCTGAACCTGCCTTCTAAAGTCACACATTAGGCTATAACTTCATTTGCTGTCATTCAAAATGGACATTGTATTATCTCAGTTATTCTTATATGTATGGTACGTTTTTTTCTAGTTTTCATCTCCCCACACCCAAAAGTATAACTGGCTAAATCAAGTTTGAAAAAGAATAACACACCCAGTCTGGCAAACATTGATTTGCAAACATTGTTATCAACAGGCCCAGTATCAGCCAGTCCATTACCCAGCATACAGTAACCTTGCCTCTCATACTGTAAGCGTTTCTGATCCTCTCTTCCTGTTGGGTGCAGGAGTCAGTGGTGGAGAGAGTGGAAAATTCATTTCTTGAGAAGACCTGTGAAAGAATCCAACATTCAGTCGAGATGTGCTCCACGATGTCGTTGTTGGTGCTTTTAAGCATCATAGGTAACAACCTTTCTGCCTGTAATTCAGTGTTCTGAGGATTTTTTTCATGTTTCTGTTTGAATTTCTGGGTATTTATTTTGATTTGACTTGTTTTGCAGGATACGTTGAACTGATCATGGTCAGCACTCCGCACAAATATGTCAACGTTACAAGGGGAAAAGATGTCCTGCTGCCATGTACGTTTGTGACTTCTGCGCCGGATACAAAAAACCTCAACATCCAGTGGGACTTTGTTGCAACGTCCTCCGTGATACCAAAGCCGGTAGATACACACTGAGCTTTTCTCAAAATGTTATTATTATTCACTGGGATGGAAGGATACTGTGAAATCAGGTATAGTGACTTACTTTATGGGTTCAAAGTGAGTATCAGAATATTTCATAATATATTTAATAAGCCTGCTAATACCCCTTTACAATTGGTATCACTCCAGTGGCTTACAGTTTTGTTTAATAACTGCACAATGCTTTGAGTGATTTTTAAAGCCGTCCGTCATTTTGTATTTCAATGTTGGAATCCCTGCCCTTCACCAAGTAGTGCCATGTGGTCGATTTACCTGGTTATTCAAATGCAACATGCCTTTGAGCTGGATGCATGTTGGGTGGTATCTAATGAAAACCTGAACATTTTGAAAATATTCAAATGTAATTTGCCATAATTTACTGTTAACCTCATTATAGAGCCTAACATAAAACACATCTTCCACACAGGTTAGCGCCTTTTTCTACTCCAGTATGCCGCGTATTCTTCACCAACGGTCATGAGACACACCTCACTGAGACAACAAAGACTGACTGCCAAATCAGATAAAGGCAGTTTTTTAAAACACCAATCCAGTATGATTTCTGTTCTGAGTTTTAAACTGATTTAACAGGACCACTCATGTTTAATTATCTGCTACAGGTGTTCAAGTTACTTTATGAGCAAAATGGTACCATCCACTGGACCTAATAACACTAAAAGGGATTTATTTAGGACCATGGACAACTTGAACTTTTTTTATTTATTATTTAAAGGGGACTACGTCATAAACATACATATTTCTACTTTTTTATACTACTATTTGAAACTATCCTTGTGAAAAATATTTTTGTTGGCAATGCTAATCCAATAAACTGCCTTCACAATACAGAAGACACCATTCTCTCTCTGATTAAAGCACATATCCAGTGTGAATTTCGGTATCATTGAGTATCTACAGTGTATCTTATACTCAGAACATCTGGACCTCTTGGGCAAGCCAGTTTTACAATGAGGATTGACAGAAACAGTTGAATCTGTATTGTGTCTAAGGTGTTGCCGTATGTTTTCAGGTGTATTACTATCTATCTGGAACCGTAGACATTGCAAAATCTTATGAGGGCCGGGTTCAGCCTCCCTCCTCTCCCGCCACGACCAAAAATGCCGCCATCATAATAAGGAACATGCAACCATCAGACGCCGGCGTGTACAGCTGTCAGGTTCACAACCTTCCTGATGTGGAGGGAAAGTCTGAGGCCGATATCATTGTGCTTGTTTTCGGTAAGTTTTAAGAACTGAAGAGGGTGAAAAAAGGTTTGTAACCCAATTTGTAAATAGAAAAGGTTGCTGTTGTGGAGCTTTAAACATTAGACATTTAATGGAAATGAATAAGTTACTTGAAAAGTGGTTTATTCAACCACTGGTTCTTACCTGAAGAAGAAGCAAAGGAGGAAGTAATCAGTATTCATTTTTTGTAGTATATCTTTTACTTAACTTAAAGTATACTACAGTATAGAAAACGTGTACTTATAATGCAGAATGGCCGATTTAAGTATCATATATACCGTGTATTATGATTATTGATGCAGCTTGACCTATAATAATACATCAATGTTTTGTATTGACAATCCGGTACTGCAAAGTAACTGAAGCGATCAAAAAAATACAGTTGAGTAAAAAGAATATTATTTGCCTCAGAATTCTTTTGAAGTAAAAGTGTAAAGTAGCAGGAAATTGAAAAAGTACCTCAAATGTGTATTTTAGTAGAATACTTGAGTAAATACATTTAGTAACATACCCTACTGGGTAGAAGAAAAAAAGGTCAAACCCATTAAATGAGTAAGAAAGTACATATTACTAATAATAGAGAATACAGAATAAGAGTTCTTATCAGGTACAATAACACTGTGAGAGTGTACAGTGTGAAGGGGATTACCGCACCACACCCCTCAGCAGTATCGGCTGAACGTTAGTGAGCAAAGCAAAAAGTCGTTCTTCGTTTCTCTGAAGGTGCTTTTACACCAGCACTCACACCTGGACATGTGTTCGGTCTGACAGGATGATCTGCTGTTGCTGTCTGAAACCGTTATTACTGGTAGATAAATAGAAGAAAACCGTGTCCCGGTGATCAGCCATTGTTCTTTCTGCTCATAAGGGTGTGGCTGCCTGAAAAAGGAGAGCCAAAGCACATTATCGGCCTCTTAGAGGTTTGAAAAATAACATGGACAAAGGTTTTTTTGTTGTTTTAGTTTTAAGTTGAATGTTTGAATGTCTTAATCCTTATTTGTCTTTCTCACATTATTCATGTGAAAGTAGATTAGTAATGTGTCAGAGACTTAGCCTTTTGCTTTCATTTGAAAATATTTTTCAACATGCATTGACATTGACCAATCACAACAGAGCAGGCCAGCTCAGAGCAGGCTAGGCTCTGGTTTCAGACAGAGGTTGAAAAGAGGTGCTGCAGCACAGGCATTATGAGAGAAATAAAGAGCTTTTTGAACATTAAAGCATGGAGACGGGTCACAGTAGAGACACAACATACAAATATGAACCTGGAAATTAGCAGAATAGGGCCCCTTTAATCTATTTGGACCGTAACCATTACTGACTATCAAAATTACTTTTAAGGTTCAGGTATCATTATGTTTTTTGATGGTCATTTACTGAAAATGTTTTGCAATGATCATAGTGTATTATTTTCTATTGTTCCATTGATTATTTTATCAATTATATATTTGTTATAATCACAGTTGTAATGCATTATAAAGTAAACAATGACCACATGAAGTCACCTACAGTCACATTGTAACACACTATCAGTTATAAAGTTAAGAAGGTTTTATGTAACACAACTATGGAGATGAGCAAACAGTTACAATAAATATGTCAGTGCAGAGATGACTGTATCTATGTTCAGTGTTGTTACAATAACAAATCTATTAAAACAGCGACCCTGAAAAGCGAGATTAGGGAATCACATTCAGTTTGAATCTTCTCATTCAGCGAGTTACCAGGGACAACCTCGCAGGCCTCAGTATCCTCACTAGTTTCCATGGTTACTGCAGCAGTCTCCTCATTGTCAGTGTGAAATTAGAGGAGGACTGTGACTGCATCCTTGTACTGCATACAGAGTATATATCAGCATCTGCTGCATGCTAAACACACGTCTTGTATTTCATAACCTTTATGAAAATGTTAGCAGGACAGTTTCTGCATACTGAATGTGATTAATGCTGTATGAATATGTATGGCTGTTCTCGTGCTGATTATCACGGGATGAAAGATTTTCATCATCTCTTACTGTTACATAGAATTATGGTAATATGTTAAGGAGAGGGAGTGGATCATGAATAACAAAAAAGGGGGGAAGCTTTACCCTTGTTGTGAAAACAGAATACATTTAAATAATGAAGTTATTTCCTGTTAAAGATTTTCAGCACCATATAGAGAACACCTTTATGATTATTAGGTAGGTGTTGGGAAATATACAGTTAGGATTCAGTATCAAGAGGTGACAGTTGTAAGGCCACACCCAACACACTTCCTGCCTGATGTCGATTCAAAGACCCACAAAAAGGATTTGTCATTTTTAACTAAATCAAAACACATATTTATACATATAGTACTCTCAACCAGGAAGTGCACAACATGTCTTTGCTGTCTGAAAGAATGGCTGTGATACTATCAAAATGAACAGAAATTAAAATGAGCAGTCAGAATTAACAGGCATATTGATCATATTTGATCAATCAAATTGCTTAACATCGTTTCTCAGATTGTAATCAATATACAGGCCATAATTATAATATGTTGCTGGTGATACACATTCCAGCCCAAACATTTAAAATGGCATACATTATCACATTTATAATTATCACCTGGCACCCAGAAATGTGTGCTTTCCTTTAAATAAATCAAGACATTTACACCCTAAATGGTGCATATAAAGTCAACAGATTGCAAGAAATGAAGTGTTTGATGCTCAAATGTTCCTGGAGGAGGATGCCCCCTCACTTTAATGCCCCTCCCTTCCTGATTTTCATATGAAAACCTTAAAGCAGAAGTGAAAAGTATGAACTCTTTCTATATTCTTTCTAAACTGATCTGAAAAAACTGAAACATTGATTTTAATGAAATGTATTATGTCAACAAATTTCACACAACTGTATTAGATAGATGAAAGCAATACTATTAAGTTTCAATAAAAAAATACTAGATTCAACTTAATATTATTGCTTTCACCAAACCTAATACAGTTGTGTGAAATTTGTTGACATAATACATTTAATTAAAGTCAACGTTTGAGTTTTTTCAGTGTAACGAACTTTACTTAACTATATCATATTTCAACCTACTTTTTATATAGTGGAAATCTACTTCCATTTATTTAACTTATATTGTTACTGGGTGCTTTTAAGACTTCAAATATGATACCTTTTTAAAATAAAATGATTAAGGATTACACCAGTAGTTCTGAATGTCATTTAATGTGTCCTCTGTGCTCTGTCAGAGACTCCTTCGACTCCTTATTGCTCCGTCCACGGGGACGTGGAGTCGGGACACCTGGTCACTCTGACCTGCCACAGCGAGCGCGGCAGCCCCCCCCCCGACCTACACCTGGATCAGACTGGACCAGGCCAGGACAAGGAGGCCTGTGCTGGGAAGAAGTCAGTACTGCATGTGTGTTTGCCTGTAATATACTTGTTGCTTTGTTATAAACATGTGCGCTTGTCTCTTCAGCGACCGAAACTGGAATTCTGGAAATCAGAAACATATCCCAGTTTGAGTTTGGGGAATACCAGTGCAACGCTACAAATGGAGCGGGATTTTCAACTTGCACCTTAGAGTTAAATCATGGTATGTTTATTTATTTATTTAATTGTTTTGCAAATTGAAAGAAAACAAAAGTTTTGCCAGAGAATTAACAACGTTACTTTTTTTTGGGTCACTCTTATTTGCACTCTCGCATTGAAGAATTCTAACTGACCCAAAAAAAAGGAATGCTTTTAGTCCAAGGCCAACATGAGAGTTACAAAACAAACAATCCTCATGAAACAAAAGAAAAAATGTATTGAGTAAAATGTTTGTAGCGCCACCAGTTTGTTTCACGTAAAAGAAAAATGAAAAGTCATATTGGCAAAATGTGTTAAGTAATTGAAATGAGAGGAAACCTTTTAGATGAGATTACCACATGTTTTAAATAATTTGCCTCTCAGGGCTTCCGTACAATATGCACATCAACCCCAGTATTAAAAAAGGCCTTATTCCCCTTCATTGTACAGATGTGGGAGATGGAGTGATTGCCGGCGCAGTGATTGGTGCGTTGCTCGGGTGTGTCCTTATCGTCCTGGTTGTGTGGTTCATCGCTCACACATTGAAGAAACACAAATACAAAGCGGTCAAAGTCTCAGAGGGCAACGAGATGATGTGAGATTCTAACCTCTTGATGTTGTTGCATTTCATCATGTCATTCCTAATTCAAGTGTGTAACATCAACTCTCTCTCTGCCCACGAGGAGGAGCTCTACTCAGGCCCCAGAAGCCTCAGATAGCGTTACCATGGCAACTACACCCAGCAACCTCCATGCTGAGGGAGATGAGCCCAAGGCCTAAAAAAAGAGCTGGAGAAAAAGCTCCTGCAGATACGTCACACTGAACAACAGGATGTCCAGCCCTCAGCACACGTCATTCTCACATTTACTCATCATATGTCCATGCTCACTGTCGTGTATGAATTTGCATTTTGTTATGTTTTCTTAATCAAAAAGTTAAATTGCAAACCAACACTTTTACAGCTTTTTTAATATCTTTTTTACTTTAAATTGGCTCGAATGTATAGACACAATGTTTGTTGACCATTTAACCTACTGTCCTTGAAACCATGTTGATGAGCCCTGCATTGGATATACAATCTACTTTATAAATAGAACTTTTTTACATTACATTACATGTCATTTGTTAGACGCTTTTATTACATACATTGAGTACTGTGGACAATCCCCACAGGAGCAATTTGGGGTGAAGTGTCTTGCCCAGGGACACAACGACATGCTGACTGCAGTGGGACTCGAACTTGCTATCCCCTGATTCGAAGTCCATCACACTATCCACTGAGCCACAGCCTCCCTGAAACTTGAATTTATTGTGTAAAATAGAAAATTAAAGTAAATCAACTTGACGGTAGAATTTGCATCATGCAAATTATCAGTATGAGTATTTTAAAAATAAATAGGATAATAGTCCAAGATTCAAATCTTGCAAATGATAAAAGTCTTATTATAGGATTTTTCGTCTTTACAGTGAATGGATATGACAAATTAATTTGGTTAAGCATAAATGTAATACAGACAAATGCAGCTGTGATGATGTATGACAAGTTTATGTATTAACGTTCAGATATTCTGGTTAAATAAAATATTGTGTTTTCTGAGTCAACGAGTCATCTAGCTCATCAAGTGTGACAATGATGATAATGATCAATAAAAGGTTCATCTAGGTGGCAGCAAACTTACACTGAGCCTCATAATGTTAGCGCTCAGTCAGATTAAGAGTCCTTGGACGTCCATGATTTGTCTCGTGTTTCATAATCCACCCTATTCTGAGGGAAATGGGTGGATTATGATACATTAAGCAACAGGGTCAGACATGAACCTGAATTTATAGATGTTAATCCTCTCTTTTGTGTTGTTGTATGTCACCTTGTGGTGATGTTATGTCTCTGCAGTTAATCAGTGTATTTTACTGTTGTTTTGCAACAATTCGTAGTTATTTTGTGTGTATTTACATTTACTTTGTGTCTCTGTAGTTTTCTTATGTTTCTTTGTGTTAAATGTAGGCCTGTTCAGTAATCCCTCCATGGTGAGGGGTCAGATGACTTTGAAATGTGATGTAATCCATGTAGCTACAGGGGCTGCCCTTTAGCACTGCATTCTCACAGGGGTCTAAAATATGTTTAGCTGCTCACACAGGGAGAAGCCTCTATAGCTCTTTGTGACCTGATATCAAAACATCATATGCTCTATAGTCCTTAACAGAGAACCTTATTTTCATGTGATTTATAGTTTGCCTGATAGGATAGTTTGCCTGATATGGATATATACTGTCAATACATATATCAAGAAGTTCACTGTCAAATTGTAGGATTATTCTCCAGAATGTAATACCTTTACATTATTTAAAATGGTAAGAGGGCAATGGGGATTACTTTAATCCAGCTGGAAAAGTAAATGTGAGAAATCAATGAGTCACTCTCTCTCTGTTTACATCTGCAGATCAATTGTAAGCATTTTGTACTACAGACACATGGGAAAATCTTGCTGGCAGGGTGGCGTGTTGGAAATATAGGCAGAGCTTTCACTTACAGCCTTCAAAATACAAAGAAAAAAACATTATTCACACTGCTGCACCCAGATATCAGATATTGAACCTTTTCAGTTCAAACTGGCCTATCAGGAGATAGTACTCTAGTAAGAGTTGACAAGTGAACCAAAAATATGAAACATTTTCTTAACTAAACTACTGCTGTTGAGGCCTGCTTCCTGTTACACAAGATGGCTTCCACAAAGGACTCAAACTCTGACAGGTAATTGCTTACATGACAACATGTCTACTTATATATAGAGTATTCATATAATAATGCTAGGTACAATAATGTTATCCATGAAGAAAACTATGTGAGAAAAAGTTTGTCTTTCCTAGCAAACAGTTAGTGAAGGAATTGGTGCTTCCTCACAATGACAACATTATTTACAGTATTTCCTCATTAATATAAGCTAATACTGCTCTTTCAACCAAATACCTTGAATTCATATCAACATGGCTACCCCTCTGTCAATTTGAAGCTAGTGTTCAAAGAGCTATAATCATTTGGCAAGTACAAAGGCAGCACAGAGACCTTCAATATGTTCCCTTTAACTGAGCTGCTTGAGTTCTTTATGGAGCCAACTTGCTCTGCTTTATTCAGCTGAATTCAGTGACAGTTTCACACTAACCCAACACATCATCACCCTACCAAGAAAGATGTGTGAAGTCGACCATCATTACCCACTTATGGCTCTTGTAACAAGTAGCAGTCTGGCTCCAAGACTTTTGATTTGTTTTACAGAGGTGGAACAATTGGAAAACTTCATATGATATAGGTCTCAAATAATAAATAAAAACTAACTAAAATACTGGCCGTCAATGTTCTCATAATTTGGAGATAACTTTAAGTTTGCTAATTGAAAGACATATATTAATGAATTTGTTTTGACAGTAGTTCTAAAACTCATGTTCAAATAAGACAACTCGCAACACTGTATGCACACTCCTAATTTCTGTAAAATACAATAACCCTATAATTGAAATTTGGATGCAGCTTTCTGGCATAAAATTGTAACTTGTTACTCATTATGTTATTTTGCTCCAGACTAGAATTTCTCCACAACTCCTGGAAGGATTGCCATGATATTCTCATGGTCCAGAGGATGACTTGTAATAGCTCTGGTGATGCTTAACTTCTCATCTTGTGCCATCAAGTCAAAAGTACATAAAACAACTGATATTCACCTTAGCTATTGCTATTGTTTGGTGCTGATATGTTGTAACTTATCTAATCATAGGTGCTGATTCCAGGCCCATCACCCAGTGAGATGGGCAAAGGTACAGTCGGGGCAAAATAGACTTGATTTGATATCAAACTCCTACATTCATTGTAAAGAAGTAAAGTCATTGGTGAGTGAAAAACAACTACATTTTTTAATATTTAGCAGCTTTGTGTTGATGGTAAATTGACAGTAATTACTGTGTGCTTGTATGCTTTCTTTGCATGTGTAATGTGTTGGAAAGCCTATAACAACTGATGGGCTTATCAATGGGCGGGCCGCGGTAGCTTATACATAGCTTGTATTGCATTAATGGATGGCGCTAGCATGCTCTGTCAGCGTGTCTCACCGTCAGGATGGTGTCAGAATGTCCAGTTAACCAATGATGTATGTTCATTTGAGCCTTTTATTTGGTGGCATTGATTGTTACTTTCTGGGTTTCATGTTGCGTATTGGTTGCTAAACTTTTGCTCTCCAATCCCTGTAAATATTTGGTGCCTGTCAATGGTTGGTGATATTGTGTGCATGTCAATGGTTGATGTTGATTTAATTTGCTGTTAAATGTTTGTGTTTTACTGCTTCTTCCAAATCAGTTTATTAAGCTAGGGGTCGTTGCAGGCATTCAGCAGTTTTGAGATCCCACTGACAGAAGCATAGATTGGCGCCTATGACTGAATTGATACAGTCTGATGGGTAACATTACTGTGCTAATTACTTTCTTCTATACTCCATTTAATGTGATCATATGATGTATTGATTGAACAATATTAAGCCGTTTGAGAACTTTTAACAGTTTCAAGTGTGATTCAGGAGACATTCAAAAACACAACAACAATCAAACATTTATTGCAAAAATAACAAACAAGGGTGAGTACTGCCTACAACATGCAGCAAGAGTGTGATTTGATTCAGAAGGCTCTCAGTGGAAATGTAAAAACTACCTCAACCTATAGTTTTAATACCTTAATTCATATAGGATAGACTGATCAGAAATCAGTTACGTTTTATTAAACAATAAAACATTCATTCACCTTGGAGTACCAACCGTCAAAACAGGCAATTAATAGCCAGTTTTTTTCTCCATCTCTCTCTCTCAGAAAGGACCTGGATCAACTTGCATAGGCTAACTAATAAGGCACAGCGGTGAAGAGGTCTTGATGTCCAGGATCAGGCCTGCAGACCGAAGACGCGTGCAGAACTCAGGACATCATCTCTGGTCAGGTAGCATCCGCACAGCTGCCTCAGGCCGGTGAAAGAGTCCCTCCCATGCATGACCCGCCAGTTGTCAATGAAAATGACCTAACGAAGAAAAGAGAGTCAAAGAATCCTTAGATTATATTGCTAATAAAAAGCAATTACATGAAATACGGCAACATCATCAAACTTGAGAAAGCACAAAAGGCATAAGAAAATATCAAGAAACAGCAAGTTTGGTTGTTTATGACCAAATTGCAAACCAACAGCTTTCTTACTTTTCCCGGAGTCAGTTTCACCCACAGCTCATTCTCTGGTCTCCTCAGTTCATTTGTCAGCTCTCGATGTGCCACGTACCATCGTCGAACAAGGTCGTGGGGCACTATGTTTATCACTGATCGGTCATAGTTGTTGTATCTGTTGGAGAAAGGACACAACAATTTAATATTTCCTGAAAGAACACAGTAGAAAAATAACAATAAAAATGACTACAGAGGTTTCTTTAAAGTTTGTCTAGTATTAAGGCAAGGGAAAATATGAGTAATTAAATAGTGAGACATATGAAGCTTTACCTCTACATTAAAACAATGAAATTGATCCACTTCTGCACAAACATGAGTAAAATGTGGTTATACTTTAGCACCAACATACCGAATCAGGTACATTTCATCGTTCCAAGGATAGACGTTGAGTACAGGGCCGATGCCTGTCATGTGGTTACGGTGGTTTTCAGACTTTTCAATGTACTCGTGTCTGATAGGCACTTTGGCAAGCAGCTCAAAGTTTTCAGGAGACTGCTGGCGAACTTTTTCAGCGGCGTAGAACCCATCCACAAGCAGTGTCCTTCCCCCAGTTCCTTCATGCTTGAGGCAGTGGAAAACCTGGATTCTGTATCAGCAATCAGCGGTAAAAAATTAGACTTTCTTGGGCTTTGTTTTTAAGATATATGAGCTAATCTCTGCTGTACGTACCCACAAGGTTCCTGAAAGTAGGAGGTGTCAGTGTGACGGTCCAGGCCCAGCTGGCTATAGGCACTATCTCCTCTGGAAAAATCTGATGTAAAACACCACATTCTTCCATATGTAGTCTCCCTTTTGTATCAGTTACACAAAAAAACACAAAGTCAAATTGTTAGCGCAGCATAGATGCTTCAGAATGTTATTTCTAAGATAACTTTCACAAGAAAAGGCAAAAATAAAGTACCTAATACCTGATAAGACTGACTCTCTGGGTGACTGCTTCTGTGGCTTCGACTGTAGCAGGGACATCATCTACAAAAGCGATCCCATACAGAAGATAGTTTCGAAGAAAGTTCTTTACTTCATCGTCACAACTCATAAAGCTTTCCCATTTTGCAGAGGGTATGTTGGCCTTTTTGTAGGTGTCTGAATTCCATAGGATGCGTGGCTGGATGGTGATTTGCTTATTTTCTTCGTAGCTGTTCTCAGCTAGCCAGCTAAGGCTGTACTTTGAGACATGACCTCCTGGCCCTGGGATACAGAAATGGGAAAACATTAGGTACACTTAAAATAACATTAGGCAAGGATGAGTAGTGTGTTTTAGAAACATTTGTGTTGAAAAACTCTTAACATCACGTAGATCCAGTAGCTGGCCGCCACAGGAGAATCTGCCTTATTACCTACCAGCTAATTCATGCTGTAGTTTACCTGCCCATTCACTGGAGTCTTCCAGAAGAGGCTACCTTGAAAGTTGTTAAAACTTACAATAGTCATGTTGGTTGTTTACACTGAAAAGACTGAAACATTGACTTTAATGACATGTATTATGTCAACAAATTTCACATAACTGTATTAGGTTAGTTGAAAGCAATAATATTAAGTTTAATAAGGTTGAACTTAATAGTGTTGCTTCCAACTAACCTAATACAGCTATGTGAATTGTGTTGACATAATACAGTAAGTTTTTTCAGTGTATATTAATTGTTGTTACTGGTTTTCAGTGTTGCTAACTTGCCGCGTTTTTTGCTAGACTTTTGAAGCTAATGCTGTTTACTACTTTCATTGGAAAAGAGTAGGCAATAACGCTGGGTTCTTAGGTTGGGTCATTTAAAAAAATGTAGCTACTCTTGCTGGCTTCATTAAGCATTCCCACCCTAGCTTTAAATGCTACAGATGGAGCCTCTTATTTTGGACCCCAGCATACAGCTTCCTGCCGACTGCCAGCCAGTTGCCTGCCAAAGACCAGTATTCAGGAATGTTAGGCCCTCCCACTATTCTCCAATTTCAGGGTTTAACCAGGAGATGGCGCTATATATTAAATAACTAAGACTTAGTTTTTCACAATAGAAAATGCAGATATTATATAAAAAACTAAAGTTAAAATCTTGTTTTTAATGCCCCAAGAGCAATAACATCTTGTCACAAGCTTTTTGGAAGAAAAAGACTGACTCAAGAGACCTGTAGTTGACTAATTACAGGCCTCAATAAAGTTCTGCCATTGGTTGTGAAAAACAACGGTGGACATAGTGGAAAGTGAAATTGAGTGAGTGATATCTCTTTGTATCACTCCATAAATCAGAAAATACTGTCAACAGCCCTAAAATATCAATTTTCACCATGTTTTTAGGTATAAAATGTTATATAATTCAGGCTATGAATTATATATGACCAAACCCTTCTGTAAAAGCCTTCATAATATTGATAGGAATATAACTGGAAGGTTTGGTGTATGTAACTGCTGAGTGATTCTACAATTTAAGGTACATTCCATGTCCATTGATGTCCATTGATGATAATTATAATTATTCTAACTATTTTCTTCAAAAATATCATATTTTGCCTATTATTGGAAAGCATGTTATAATATCACACAAACATTATGTGCATCCTATGCATTCATGATGTTCTTAAATTGTCAGTTTTTGCTATGTCCGTTTTTCAGTTGAGGGTGTCTTGGATTCAAAATAATGAATAAAAACCATTAAAGTAAATTTAAAAAATGATTCATTTATTTCAAAAGTCTAAATACTAAAGAATAATAACATATTTTTAATTGATTTCCCCCTTTAAATAATTTAAATATCTTAATATATGAATGTCCGCAAAAGTTCTGTCAACTATGTTACTAACAGAACTTCCCCCTTTAACTCAAAAATTGTTTGTCCCAATACCATGTCACCAGCATCACATGATGCCATGTTCCTCTTTGGCAGACATTTTGAACACACTGTGGTGATTGTCCTCTACATTTTTACAATATTTTATGTATAATAGCACATGGTCAATTAATATACTCATTGACAATCAACAATGTTACGTACATTGTTATGGTTTACAATTGTTTAATGATTTTAATTCAATTATATGTGCAAATGTGATGTTAACCTGTTCAAGAAAATGACATGTGGTCATCCAGGCAAGGCCTACCATTGAAATGATGGGTCAAAATAGGGAAATTGTCAACTAGGTTACCTGTCAACTGAGTTACCCAGTACTGTAATAACTGTAGTAACTTAGTTGACAGGTAACCTAGTTGACAATTTGTACGACATGTAGACGTCATTACACATCATTATCAATGGAATTTTGCACTTCTGCCTTGAAATTAACATAGTGCTGATGGTTAATAATGTGTCCAGTCAACTATGTTATTTGCGTCAAATGTTTGACTTTCATTGTCAACTATGTTGCACCTCATTTTTTCAAATTTAAAATATCTAAAATAGTGCTTCTGATATCCTTTATAGTATAATGTATATCTACACAGGTTGGAGTTTTACATGACATCTCTTAAAACTATCAAAATGACCTGTATGGTAGTTTTATAATACAAAATATCCCTAAACTTAATGACAGTGCTGAACATATCACATGAAAAAACAAAACTTTAATACAATTATTTTTTAAACTTTAAAAAATCTTTGGATATATGGTAGAATAGACTCAAGAGCCTTTCAAATTTGATTTTACTTGAAGTGCAGGACTTAATCAAATGATTGTAATGACATCAAGTTTGTCCGTAACATAGTTGACAAACTGAGTAGTGAAAACATCCTTTCCCTTAAAATAAAAAAATATATAAAAATGTTTAAGCTTTGCAACTAGTGGATATGTTACACTGAGGAATATACTAACTTGAACCACTGATTGTTCTATCTATACATTTTATTTGGCATTAGTAAATAATTATGCACATTTACAGATATTTTACATGATATGAGTGATAACACGTGTTATAAGGGCTATTTCGCACAATAGGTGTGCCTTGAGATTTTTACTTGTCCTTTGGTGTGCCTTGGGCACAAAAAGTTTGGGAACCACTGCTGTAGAGAAATGTAAACGTTCACCATCCCCCACCCGCCTACTGTATGTTGCTTTTTGACATGTAAATGGGTAACTACACCCCTCTGAGTGAATACCTGTTGTACCTGTCCGGGGCTAAGCCCATAGGACGATGCTCTGATGTCATCACCCTCGCACATTGGTCATATGTTTACAAAAAACGATGTTAACACTTTCTCGTTCTTAATATATGCTATATTTAGGGTCGATATGTGTTGAATTTACTTTAAAATAGCAGATCACTGTGATTCACTTCTCCGCGGCTCCTCCGTGCAGAGAGGCCCCCCCCCCCGTTGACAATTCACGAGCGTCTAACTCTCTCCCCCCTGTGAAGAGATATCACAGGGGGGGGTTGGGACACACACATTCCGATGGCCAATTCGTTTTAAACAAAGAGTGGGGTGGGGGCTGGTGAACGGTATGGTCAATGTTTGTAAACACTGTGACATTTTGACTTTATTTGATCATTTCAGTTAAAAACTAACGTTCATATTTCATATTACTGTTTTGCCTGGCTGGACCTGTAATTTACAGGAAAGGAGTGCACGCTACTAAAGAGACACGCTACCATGGAAACCAAACAATGGTGTTGCTGTATTGAAGTCCGAGTGGAAACAGTCATATTTGGAGCGTTATGTTAGAATGAAACAGCGAGGTCGTGACTCACAAAAAAAAAGTGTTACTTCACTAACTGTAAGCTTGTCACTCAGAGTAACCTACAGTTAACTTAACTGTTGGAAAAGAAAGATCAGAGTTAGGAGTGTGAACACACAGCTGAGAGCTGCCGTTTCATTCTGACTGTTTAAAAAACGGTAACAACGGACTATTTTTCTTAGCGGATGCATGTAAATTTAAATCAATACATAGAACTATGTTTTAAATCAATAAAAATATTTTCTAAATCCATAAAAGCATTTTAATTAATATTGGGAGTCATGTCGTTACTTTGTTGAGAATGTGGCCATGTAATAAGCGGGATAATTTGCAGCGACTTGGTCATTATGGAAAAAAATAACACCCAGGGATCAAGATCCCTCCGCTACACGGATCTTGATCTGCCTGACAAGGCTCCATTAAAATATAAATATTTTTAGTGAATTACTGAGTTTAGGCACGTTAATAACATTTTAATGAAGTTGAATACAGTATATTCATATTTGTCAGTGATTTCATGTCAATTCGGCGAACATAAACGATTAAATTAGGATTAAAAATCGAGAGCCGGCTGCTGTTCGTTACGGTAACCCAACTAGGACACTTGACACAGTGGCTTTTGGCAAAGCACACAAAGAAAACAAAAAAAACCGAGAGAGATGAGTTATTGTTATTACAACGTGACTTCACTATTATTTAACAACTATTTTTATTGGGTTCTTTTATTTGGGGTTAAGTACATTGTCAGAATAAGTGAGAAATGGATTTAACTTCTGTTAGACAGCTATCATACTGAATAAATATTTATGCAAAAATGTATGGCATTAATAATGTATATCTAATTACATTTAAAAATGTATGGCATTAATAATGTATATCTAATTACATTAACTGTGAATGTCTTTCATTTTATTTAAAATGAAATAAAATTACATAAAACATTTTCCATAAAAAAGTTGATTCAAGAACAAATCAGTACTTTTCTTATATGACTATTATTGCTAAATTTGAAAGGTCTTTACCAGCTTTGGAATTATATATATATATATATATATATATATATATATATATAGCACCTTCTGCCATCCCATCTCTACTGACATATGGATCTTAACAAAGATCCGCTATACATTAGTACCAGATATACTGTACACGGACATTTTAGTGAACCAGACCAGCTGTTTCCGCCGGGTCTTCGCTTCCCGGGCATCACGTTGTTTACAAGTGTGTTCAGATGCTAAATAAAAGTTTAGCTTGTACTTTTGATACCCCGCCTCTCGGCACCACAACATCCAGTTTACTGTATTTCACATGAGCGATGTCGAACATTGAAAAGTCCTTATAAAATCTCTGTTATTAGATCAGTACTTTTCTTATATGACTATTATTGACTTGAACACTGAGAATGTATTTATTAACTTCAGACATTTGAAATATTTGAAATCAGATGAAAACAAACTGTAACGGAGCCTGCCGTGTTATCTATGATTACTATGCCTTACTGTACATTCATAATTTCAGCCGGAGGTAGGTGGTAGGCGTTGCGGAGGAGCAGATTGCGAGTGAGGTGCCTGTTCTAAACGAACTATTCCAGCTGTTATAAAGCATTAAATAAAAAGTAAGCAAGGAATACAGAATGTTTCGTTACGTAACTTTGTTGAGAATGTGGCCATGTACATGTACATAATACATGGGATCATTTGCAGCGACTTGGTCATTGTGGGGAAAAATAACACCCATCCTGATCGTTTCAATGAAGTTGAATACAGAATATTCATATTTGTCAGTGATTTCATGTCAATTCGGCGAACATAAACATCAATGATGATGATTAAATTAGGATTAAAAATCGGGAGAGCCGGCTCGTTCGTTTTTTCCGACTAAACAACATTATTAACAACAGAGAAGTTGATTTCACATGACTCCAGTGTGGAACCCCACTGCACCCCCTGGTGGATCAATGATCAATTGCAGCTGGCTTCACAATAATTAAATGTATTTATCATGGGGGCGGTATCAAGTCTGACTGGGGGCCGGCCGGCCATCACGGAACGTGCACGAACCGATCACGACCCTCGCATTTTAAACTGTCCAAAATAAGACGCTTCATCTGTATGCATGAGCTGAGTTTGGCTCATCGAAATCAATTACTAAGGAAAGGTTAAAGTGGTAATAGACAACCTTGATATTTTATTTACTGGTGTATCACATTTGAAGTCAGAGAAAGGCATTATTACTAATAATAATAATACATTTAATTTGCAAGCGCTTTTTCAGGTGCTCAAAGACGCTTTACAGCAAAGGGGACAGCAAACAAATGTGGAGTCGGGTGAAAATGTTACGGTTTTTAATATAGGTTTAACCAGAGTTTTATTTTGTTTCTGTTGAGTTTAAATGTAGTGGGTTTTACAAAGATCAGCAAGGTACAATTATAGTTGTGGCTTTAAAGAGAGAAAATAATACATTTTGATTATTGTCAACATTTCTTTAGATTTTATTTATTATATATTGACCTTGCATAGCGTTACACTAGAAATGTGTCTTAAATGAGTGTGCCCACACATATGTTTCTCAAGAACGAGCCAGTTAATACCCGAGACTACTGCAGAGTCATTTGTCCAAGAATTGAATGCAGATGTTTACATTCCAGTGAAAACAAGAGTGAAATGTCATAAGGCTATTTGTCCGCTGGGAAATTGGTTTATAGGGAACCACTTTAAAGGCTGTGTTCGAGCTATATTTTGATTTATATTATTGAAAAGTTAAACATTTATTTTCTGGTTGTTTTTGTTTACAGTAAATGTATTATTATTAATTGTTATTATTTAAGTTAGTTAAAGTAGTTTTATGCTTTTATTTTGAAGGTGTATTTTGGCACTGGGTGATTGGGGCACTCAGTGTAATTGTATATATTGGAGACAGGGGGTGGTGGGAGTAGAGCACCAGTATGGCATATGGTTTTTACCAGGGCAAGTAGTAGGAGGCCACGGGAAAGGCACAGGGAAAAAGTGTTAAACCTTTGTTCTTTGGATATTATTATAGGAATAGAATGCACAGAAAGGACTCTTGCCTGGACTTGGATCATTGACACTGCGTAAGAACCGCTAACTGGGGCCTCAGCGGCTGTTTTATTTGAGTTACATTCCTGGTTTATTTCTTTATGATACTGGCCGTTATAGGTTGATTGAGTCATTCTTAGCCATTACATTGTTCAATCAACTTTAACTCTGTGGAGGAAACTTCTGTGTAGTAATGCATGGAGTCACCGACTCAGGAAGGAGACACGGTGAGAGTTGGAGCTTTGATGTCAAACACTGATGGGTTTATTCAGAGTATTCGGCCGGAGGATTCACATCACAAATCAAAGAGTCAGAGGTTCTGACCACACGGTAGAGTTGCCACGTCAATTCTGAAGAACCTCTCTCTATGCTAGACCTTTTAACAGGTTCACAGAGAGAAATCAACATCTCTGAAGGAGTAGACTAAACACTGAATCACCTGCGTCCGACGCTCATGGCCTCAAGGATTTCACATCCTAGAGCCCACAAACACCGATAAAGAAGTGCTTCAGTGTTCCCACAACAATTACCCTTCGTGCCAGTCAAGTTGACCGGTCACACACTGGTGACAACAACACATATGGCACCAAGGCCTTTCCTTAAAGGAGATAACACATGTCAGAGTAAAAGGTTAGATATCTAGAAGAATTATTCCTTAACAAACTCCATAATGATAAGTTTAAAAAATACCACTTGCCACTTTGTGTGCAAGTAAACTTTTTGTTGCACACAATAAGATGAAAATGATACAGACGTTAAAGTAACTCAAGTATTTTTTATCATCTTGAATATAAACTCTTGGCTCAAATCTCTGTCCTCTCCTTTTGTCATGTAGTCTCACATTAACCTATGTACTGTGGTACATTAGGTCGTAAAGGATTACAGAAAAGCTCATAAAAAGCTTGCCATCTATGGTTTATGTACACATACAGCAGAAAGATACGATCTGCATGCAACCTGAGTATCCATGAGGGCCTTTGCACCGTTGAGATTGAGCATTTAGCAAATCAAGTCTGTGAGGGCAGATGTTGATGGATAGGATGAGCTCACCCAGACTCAGCTGACCTTGAATATGCAGCCCCACACTGTGTGTATGCCAGTGTGCCCACAGGAGTGTATGCATCATCCACTGTCTCGGGGCTGACAGCTACCCATTTGTCAGTTTATGTAAGATTCAGTGCCACTCTTGTGCATAAATAAAAAACCCTGTAACGGCCCAGCAGCCCACAGGGAGGCATCAGTCCATCTTAAGGACAACCCCGAGTGGCATAAGCCAGACAGACGCCCACAGCCAGAGAGCATGGGCATCTATAAGCTGCCAGGTTCTCACTGCACTGCTATGCTATTAAAAGCTTATAGTGGTGCTATCTCCCTTTCCATAGGCCTGTCAGGATAACCACTTTTGTTAGACGATATATTGACCCAGAAAGATTGTTCATATTTTCATTTTAAGACCATTTTAATGCCAGTGATATAATGAGTCTATCAAAGCCAAATGTCCACTGTGCCAGCCAGTAAAAGATGTTGCAAATCACCGTTAACTGATAGAGATTTATAAGTGGAAAGAAATCAGAGTACATAAAGATTTATTTAACCGTTCATATCTTTTTATCTGTCCCCTTTCATTACCTGACCACACCCTAAGGATTTACTGACAACATAATTAATCTTTACACTATAAGAAGAATGCCATCACAGAGGAAAAAGTCAAACTCTTTCATGTGAAGAGAACTTTACATCATGTGTGATGATGGTGTGCTCTATTTTTGACTCTTTACAGCAATATCCTCTCTTCCAAATGGATAGTTAGGACTGTTTGAAGCGAGTAATATAAAAATACCTTTTCATTTTCAGTGTATTAGCTACAGTTAACGGTGGCAGTAGACAAACGCTTTGTTGAGTGTGACTGAACACTGAGACTTTCAAGATGCACTTTATTAGTCAACTTAAAGTAAATCATTGAATCTGACCTAAGGTTACATGTTGTAAATGCCATGTTTTATAGTTTAGTTTCTTGGTGATTTTGTTTAATTGTTTTGTGAGGTTCGAGGTTAGGCCAGGTTAGTTTGGGGCCTCTTCATTAAACACAATTTATAACCAAGAACATGCACTATATAAGCTCAAAGTGAACTCAAATATATACAGCGTTTGACACAAGACCCCAAGATTATGCAATACTGCATTACTACCTTAGATGGTATTTTACCTGTTCTTGTAACAAAGGTGCAATGCATCAGTGGACCAGGTATATCTGACTGGGGCCCCTGGGGGTCTTGGTCTTGTGCTTGTTTGGCATCTACCCTAGTGTAATAACTTAATTACAGTGTCATTACAATGCCTTAAAGCTGGGCAATATAGAGAAATTAAAATATCACAATATTTTTGTCCAAAAACCTCAATATCAATATTACAACGATATTGTAGGGTGCAGAAATTATTACAAATTACTTTACTTGAATGCAGCCTTTAAAACCAATTAGAGACCGCCCATACTGGCATCTAACTATATCAAAATGTAAGACCATACCTAGTCTCATATCACAAAATCAATATAATATTGATATATTGCGAAGGGCTTCAGTGCATTTACTTTGGATGAGGCGTAAACACTGCCACATAACTTGAAAATGATTTAAAACACTTTGGGCATGCTTTTCCTGACCAGACTTGTATTTTGAGATGTTTGGTTTGGTAGAACTGTACTCACAGGTGAGGACCAGATGGCCGTCTTGCACAGTTGTGTTGTCAGGGCGGATGGAGAGGTCTATACTCGCAGTGTCCAGGTTCCTCTGGTTAGTGCTGGAGTTGTATGAAGCGTCAGAGCGGCAGTGATCCCTCAGCCACACGTAGTTGAAACGCATCGGCGCCCCTCCATAGTTGACCTCTGGGGGTTTCATAAGCATGAGTTTAATGTTGAGTTTTGCCCAGTGTTGTAAATTAACTAAGTACATTTACTCAAGGACTGTACTTAAGTAACATTTTGAGGTACTTGTGGTTCACTTGAGTATTTCAATTTTTTGCTACTTTGTCCTTCTATTCCATTACAATTCAGATTGTACTTTTACTCCACTACATTAATTGAATACCTTTAGTTACTTTGCAGATTTAAATTAATGATGTGAAATATAATCAACACTTAAATAACACTTTAGACACCTGAAGTGTAATTCACATTCTACCCTGCAGTATACAAAGTCATTAAAACTAGCTACACCTTTACCAGCTTTGATAAACACATTAATGCATCAATAATTACAATATAAACATATAATACGTTTTATTCTGAATCTGCATGAGTACTCAACTTTTGGTACTTTAAGTATGTTGATGCCAATACTTTTCTACTTTTACTTGAGTAATATTTTAAATGCAGGACTTTTACTTGTAGCAGAGTATTCCTACACTCAGGTACTTCTACGTTTACTGAAGTACAAGATCTGAGTACATTTCCTCCCTCGGGTTTTGCCCCACAGTATGTATTAATCGTGTTACACTAACTCACCGAGACAGTCTTCGAGTGACCGAATAGTTGCATCGCACGCAGAGCTCGCGCGGACCAGCGTCTCGTGCCTCCACAGTGGCTGCTTGTTTTTGACTGCAGACAGCAGCTGAGCCTGTTTCAACGCGGGTCGCAATATCCTATGTAACATGACAGACATCGTCAACACACGTGTGTTATGAAGAAAGAAGTACAAACCCCCAGACTTAAAACGATAACCGGGCTTCTTTCACGAGAAGCCACCGTAAACACTTCCTTAAGCGCTTCTTCACGTCTATAATCTCACAACATTTCTCAAAACGACGAGATTAATTATTAAACACGGCATGCTTTAAGCGGTAATGTGTTTACAATGGTGTAAAGTCTAACTTGGATATGATTGACCATTGTAAACAAGAGACCGTAGTGTTCCACCGCTGAGATTGGTCGAGTAGTTTTTTTGGCACATGCGTGGTACCGTTGATGCGAGTACCCGGATGTACAGAGCACTTGAGATGTATTTTGACTAGGGCTGTCGCGTTAACGCGTTAATAACGCGTTAACGCAAAAAAAAATTAACGCCACTAATTATTTTAACGCGATTAACGCATGTGTATTTTTTGTCCTCGGCCGCCGTAGTTTCAGAGCGCATCGAGTTTAAAATACCATCTACAAGCTGATGCTGACAGCCCCGCTCCTGCTGCCCGCTTGTGGCAGACCACACTTCCACGCTCACCGGCAGGCCCGGACTGGCCATCGGGAGGACCGGGAGGGTGTGTGTATGTGTGGCGCGAGCGAAGCACACCTTACGTGTTGTTGTTAGCATCTGGTGCTAGCTAGCTGAGCTAACGGATATAAGGAGCTGTTTCAATGAAAACAGAGGAGCGACATTTCGCCGACAACTGCGCCGAGCACTTGACTTTATGCAGGTAGCCAGACAGCACACTCAGCACGGATAGTGCCGCAACACAGCTCATACACACAGGCATATATGCCTTGAGCTGCACATAGCTCCAACGATCCTCCACACACACACACCACACACACACACACACACACACACACACACACACACACACACACACACACACACACACACACACACACACACACACACACACACACACACACACACACACACACACACAGTATTGTATGAGAGAGGTTCTAGGTTGAATTGAGGCGAATATTTGTAATGTTCAGAGGTTGTTGTGTTTAATATTCATGAGAATATTTGTCATTGTTCAAATGATAATAAACAAACATATAAAGCATAGTTGTACACTCATATGTTGATAAGAGTATTAAAAACTTGAAAAATATCCCTCTAAGGTACATTTAGAACAGATAAAAAATGTGCGATTAATCGCGATTAACTATGGACAATCATGCGATTAATCGCGATTAAATAGTTTAATCGACTGACAGCCCTAATTTTGACATATGATAACTTTATTGATGCACTTATTGGCAATATGCCACAGTGAGAAAAGCAGTCCCACAGATATGATTCTTTCATTCAAAGAGATGTTCACTTATTCGGCAGTTATTCCACAAAAGCCTTCATTAGTTATAGATAGAAGGAATTCTCCCTTCAGTTTGTTTTCAACCAGATGACATAAATGTAAAGAATACACTATTAATCTTATAGTAAAGTAAATAATAATGATGTCTCTTTTCAAATTAATATATCAAATATTTAACTTAAATATGAATATTTGTACTTTTTGTGACTTAGATATTGGAATACTTGTTTCTCCTTAAGGTTAACTAGGATCTCTAGAGGGAGGCTTTTCAGGTTTAAAAAAACGTCTTATCATCAAATATTGCGATACTATATTGAAACAAGGTAATACTATACAAAACTATATACAACTCATTTTTAAGAGCAAAAAGTAACAAAAGTTACCCTCAACTTCACCGGATTTTAACATTGATTGCCATAAATGATTGCATACATTTACAGTTTCTTATTTATCCAGTATGATAGATTATGAGCTATGTACGGCAACCCAAGTAGGGCATTTGACACGTTTCGCAAAGAAGTAAAGAAAACCCGACCACATTAATACGAGAGATGAGTTATTGTTATTACAACGTAATTTCACAATTATTTGAGAAGAAATCCTTTTAGTGGGTTAAGTACATTCTTAGATTAAGTGAGAAATGGATTTAACTTATGTTTGACAGCTATACTGGAGAAATAAGAAATTGTAAATATGCAATCATTTATGGCATTAATAATTAATATCTAATTCTTAACTGTGAATGGTTTTAATTTATTTAACATTAGACATGTATTAGTCTGGCCAAATTGAATAGCAACCTAAAATCCCTCTCTTTCCGTATCTCAGATATAGAAGATATGATTGGAGACAAAACAGCCAATCAGAATTGACCTTCTCGAGTTCTCCGATTGGTTGGTTTTGTGGCACATTTGTAACACTGTGCCAACTTGAGCGAGCACGCAGGCAAACCGAGCGCATACAGCAGGGGCGGACTGGGACTAAAAATCAGCCCGGGAATCTCGACCGGCCCACTTCAGTACCGCTAGTAGATTGTAAACGGGGGGGGGGGGGGGGGAGCTAGTGAATTGTCCGACCGGCCCACTTCGGTACCGCATCGGGATTCGTCCCGAACGTCCCGATGGCCAGTCCGCCACTGGCACACAGGGTGGAGAGGTTGAGCAAGGGAGAGAAAGGGAGGGAGAGCGCGTGCAGCGGTCTGCTTGCGCACGGAGCAGGAGTTTGTGAGAGGGCTTAGAGTCAATTGTGCTTGCAAAATATATTTTTCTGTGCTCAAAAATGTTAAATTGCCCGCTCAATAACATTTGATATGCTCAAAATGTTTCATTGCGTGCTCAGGATAGAGGCACAAAAATAACGCCATAGAACATCTGAGGGAATTAGTGGACTAAACCCGAGTAACTGGATTTGACTTGACAAAAAACATATAGGCTGCAACATGAAACTGATAAAACAGAGTAGTTTTTTAGAGTAAATCAGGTGGGACTGTGACCAAAGAAGCGTGTGCTGCTCAGCTGGTAGCATGAAAGGTCTTCTCTACTATGAGGACCTGAAGGCTATAAATGAGAGGTAGGAGTGAAACCAACACTTGCTGACCCTATTCATAAGAAGCCAAACATTCAGTGGCGTTTTTATATGTACAAAAGTGGTGGGGCACAAAAAACTTAGATGTCTATATATAAGCTTCTGCAGTGACGTGCAGTGAGGTTCATGGCTGCTGAGGCACTGGCACTGACTCTTCAGGTTTACAAATATTATATTTTGACCTAAACCAAAATATAATATTATTTTCAAAAGCTTTTTTTGTCTGATGCTTCGATTAATTTTAAACAGACAGTTCAACAAAAGGATACCCAAAAAATGTAATTTTATCATTTAAATATTGAATTGTTCTCTCTTAGTAAGATCCCATTTTCAATAAAATGGCGGTCTTACCTTGACTTGAAGATGAAGGCCATTTGCCTATCCTTCTGGACAAACATTTCTATTACTTTTTTGTAAAAGTCCTCCTTATGTTCTTGTAGTTTCAAAAGTCTATCATAAATCTAATCCATAGATTTATGATAAAAAAATTATAAAAGTAGGGTAGACATGTGGATGTTATCCGGCTGATCAAAACGTGCATTTATCTAACAGGTACGTTTCCCACAGATCTTATTTCGAGCTATTTTCTAAAATCCTCTGGAGAAATCTCATTGCTTTTTTGTGCTTACTTCCTGGTTTTAGGACGCGCCACTGCAGCTCTCTCGTCTCCTCTTCACACAGCACACTTTTCGCGGCACACGTACTTACAGCCAATCAGCTCTGAATGATTTGAGATGACGTATGGTGGGGATGGTAGCTCCGTGCCCCTCTGGTCATTATTTTTTTGCCACACACATTTCATTACAAAATACTCTGAGCATGCGCAGTGAAGTTTTTACAGTCACCGTTGACTTCACAGCGAGAGGAAGGGGCATAATCAGGTTTTGTCCCACATGGCTCTAAACAGCTCAATAGGCACACACTGTGACTGTAGACACACTAATTAGAAGAACACAGACTAAAACAGCAATGTACAGACGAATCAGATGATTAAACATGATCTTAAAATATATTTTATATATTTTTTTATTTATTTTTTTGCATTTTTGTAATCATTATTTGTAATACTTTCTGCTGACACTAGGTGGGGCTGTGCCCCACCTGCCCCTAATGACCAGTCGCCACTGCAAACATTAGTGCGCTAGGTCATGTTATTGCTAAAACAATCCTGCATGCTGGCTCCCTCTTGAGTCCTTTCTCATAATTAACTGCTTATCACACTCATCACCTGGCTGAATAACTCTTCCATTCTCTACACATTGCCAGTCTGTTGGCATGTGCTTTACAATAAAGAGTGGGGGCCCAGCTATCTGCACAGAAAACCTTGGCCCTACTGTACACCACACTTGGGTATCTAAAAACAAACAGACATCATGAACAATAATAAAGCATCCAAATATGAAGTATAATCCATAAACAAAGTCATTGATCAATTTTACCACTATTTGTTTTACCATTATTTTTCATGTTATTTTAAGGTGGACACCTTTTTTTCTTTTTTAATATGTCTCCAACATGTGTACAGTACACATCTGAGTTTGGCAGTAACAGATAACATGTAACAGAAATTAAGTTTACAAAAATAAATACCTATAATCAGATTACATCAAAAGAAGTAGTTACTTTATTACATTTTATTTTTATTTTAGCTCAGTGAGTTATTTTCTTTTTCAGTCAGTTGTGTTAGTTGGGATGTAACTATTGTTTTTGTTTTGAGGGTTAATTGATAATTGAGTTTTAATTCAAATGTAAACAAAATGGAAGATGATCATCGTGGCCTTCGATAAAAAACAGCAGCAACAAAAATATACACAAAATAATTTTTTTAAATATATTTCTGAAAGGGTAATGTGATTTGAAGAACTGTTGCAAACATTCACATCGAAAGTGAAAGAAAAAAGCATATTTGCAGATTTTTGTTTTGGTTCAATACGGTCTGTGAATGATTTTGAAAAAAGCAAGATTATGACAAAAGTATTCAAATAACAGTTTTTTTTGTATTTCAATAAAGTTATGTTAGTAATGAAAATGACATGTAATTAATATTCGGTTACTGACTACCACTTCAGGCCTGGATGTAAAAATAAAGTGCCATTTCTACTGATCATAATTCCATTGTTGAGGTATACTAAAATAAATGTATATTGTGCAATTTTCCAAACTCACATTGGTTTCTCATACAGCATCTCTGTATAGTATGTGTATTCACTTTCTGTCCTAAACGGCTTGTTGGAGCTCCTGCCCCCCCCTACCTGTGAGCCCAGTGGCCGTCTGCGAGACAGCGAGACACCGCGAAACTCAGCCTGGGCACACACACACACCCGCAGCCTGGCTGGGAGTTTGTGTGTGTGTC